ATATATATATATATATATATATATATATATATACATATGTGTGTGTGTGTGTGTGTGTGTGTTTCTGTTTGCGCACAGCTCTCCCTGTCAAACAAATAAAAAATCTAAATATCAGGTCAGGTCGGGAAATGTTGAGACTGTCGAGTTCTGATGCCTTTCTCCCTCCGCGTCTCCGCAGCACAGCAGTGTAGCACACATTGACCTGCACATCACAGAAGTGAAGCCCTCCCTCCTTTTCCAGTTGTGTTTGTCTTGGTGTGGAGGTGAGTGGTGATGAACAAAAGACTACCCTTACCAAAAAGTAGTATACTTCAAGTTTATTTTAGTAAGTATACTTAAGTAAAGTTCAAGTATATTTTTAAGTATACTTTATGTATTAAGTATACAAATATCAGTGTACTAATATTATACTTGTAAGTGTACTATTTCAATACTCCTTGGGACTTAATTGGCCCACTTTGTATATAAAAGTATACTTTTAGTATAACAGTAGTAAACTTTGAGAACACAACTAGTTTACATCTATGTTTTTAATTTGTACTGCAGCTATACTAAAAGTGAACTAATAGGTATACTGATAGTTTACTAATTAAGTACCTGTAGCATTTTAGTATACTAAAGTATAGTCTCAGTAAACTACTAGTTTAGTAGTTTTATACTGCAAGTATACTCATAAGTTCTTTAAGTGAACTTTACATCATACTTTAAGTATACTACTACGTCCCTATTTAGGTATTAATTTGTATATATTTTGTTATATGAATATCTGAACATACAAAACATCAAAAGAACAGGGTATCTGCTTGTAAACAAAAACATTTTATTCTAGCTTCATGCATTCTTTTTTAAACACTTGAATGTGGGTAAGTTTCATAAATAAAAATTTAAAAAAGAAATTACATTTTGAACAAAAAGCTGGAAAAAGACTATGAATTGGATTCAGAATGATAATCAAAACATAGATAAAGTCGATCAACACCCCAAAGCTTGACAGTCAGTATTACCTCTTCATTGGTCGACATTACATCAACGTTACACAGTTTTGATGCTGTTTTATGTCTGATGATCGTGTTAGAATACATGTGGAAGCATTTGTTGTTTCGGTTTCTTCTTCACTTGTGTTTTTTTGGGGGGGAAATTCTGTACAGAAGATGTGTGCTAGCGCCCCCTACAGTATAACAATGAAAACACGGATTCTCGGAGCACAAGTATAGCTCAAATATATTTAGACTTTTTCTAAGTATAAGTCAAGTATACTTAAATGTAATTTTAAGTATATTTCTGAGAAGTACATAAAGCCCAT